GGAAGTGAAGTTTTCGGATTTTACTGCAGATCCTTCTGTCTCCGACAAGAACACTTGGTTTGTGATATGCTGCAGAGCTGACTTCCAGCGTGTGGACTTTCTTTCATTGAACCACTTCATGCCAGGTTGGCACAAGTCACAGCTTGGAGAAGAGATGTGGGACAAGGCTTGTGCAGCAAATTCTTCCGCTTGGAAAAACGCCAAGCATTGAGAAAGCAAAAGCTCACAGATCTCATGGAGGAAGCAGACCCAGAAGACCCTACATTTGAGGTCATGTTTCGCCAGCTTCTGTTGGAAGACCGCTTGATCAAGGCCGAACAGCTTGCAATTCAGGAGTGTCTGAAGTTGGATGTCTTTCCAGAGAATGTACTCGCGGATGGGAATTGTGGATTGTGGACAATACTGCAGCTACTTGAAGGCCATCCAAAGTGCTTGGGCGAGACTCATCACTCTCTGGAATAAATCACACGCATTGCGACAAGAACCTTGTCATTGCTGGATGTTTTTGATTCGATTAGAATGGGCTTGCGTTCGGGTGTTTAATTTTGTAGAGACTTTTTTTCACAGCTACAAGTTTCACAGCCGAGGAATTGTCAGATTCTTGGCGCGCAGCTTCCGGAGTGGCTATTTATCAATGCATGTTTATTACCTTCCATCGTGATGACGACGATCCCTTCAAGCCGACCACTCCTGCCAAAGAAGTCAAGCGCACCCAGTCAAAGGAGAAAACCATGGATCCAACACCTGAAAAAGTACCCGCAGTCAAGGGCCCAGTAGCTGCTCAGGGGCTTTGCCGACCAGCTGATTTTGGAAAACCCAAGAAACGTGGTCCTGTTGTCATGGCCAGGGCAGGTCAGCCTGTAGCGCTGAATGGCGCTGAACTGGATGAGGAGGCGCAGAGAACTCAACAGGCTGATGAAGATTTGCAGCTGCTGCCAGATGAAGATGCTGATGTTGACCTGGTTCCAGGGCAAATTCGAAGGAAATCACACATGCGGCTTTGCAAGAGCCTTCAGCCGAGTGAGCACACTGTGAAGTCCAAGGCTGTCAAGGGCTACCTTTCGTCAATTGGCATCGCGTACCCAGTGTTCCAAAGGTTCCATGCAAGGCGAGCCGTTTGGGATTGTGGCAGAGCATTTTGTAGGGGAGCCGTTTGGGATTGTGGCAGAGCATGTTGTAGGGGAGCCGTTTGGGATTCTGGCAGATCATTTTGTAGGGAAACATGTTTTTTTGATTTTTTTTGACTCTTTTTTCTTCGAAATGACCTTGGCAATCTTTGCAGGCGTGGAACAATGAGAAAGGTCTGCGTGTGCAAGAGTGGTGGCTTTGTGAGCCTACAACAGCTGTTGGTGACTCAGAAGGATGTGTCCTGTGAATCTTGTGCCGCCTTGCTTTCCCACTTCGGGTTCAATGCGGACTTGCTTGCCGATGCCATCCAGAAGGGCCTGGCTGGAGAGGATGTCTTTGCTACCTTGCCAGATCAACAGGGCTCAGAAGACAAGAAAGATCCAATTGAGGATGGTGAAGAGCGAGAAGCAGAACAGGATGATGATCCATTTGATGAGGTAAAGAAGCATCAGGGTGTGGTGGAACTTCTGCCACCTGGTACCATGGGAAAGAGATTTCCATTTCGGTGCCTGCTGTGCCGCTCGGGAACACAGCCACACGGCCGCGTTGCTGAGTTACACGCTGCCAAAAGCAAGAGTGTGAAGTACTTTTTGCACAAGCATCTCAACTCTGCTACTCACAGACAAAATGTCATCAAGTTGCAAGGGGAGTCGAAGGACAACTATGTACCATGTGAGGGAATGATGGTCAATGACAGGCTATCAGCTGGACTTCTCTTCGAATACAGACGTGAATTCGAGACGTGTGTTTCCATGTCAAACTTGAAGATGTTTGCCAAGCACATCTACTGGCAGGAGCCCAACGCTGGTGGATGGTTCATCCGCCATCAGAAATGTCTCAAACAATGCCCAGCGATGCCTTCAAGCATTAGAAGCATGTGCCAGGACAGGGTTGCATTTTGTAGTGGGTACATCCAGGGATCACGTCAGCCCTGTCCGTACTTCTATCCTGTCCGTACTTCTATCCTGTCCGTACTTCTGTGCACTTCCTCTTTTTTTTAAGCTTCTATTTTTTCTTAAGCTTTGATATCTTTGGTTCTCTTGTCGCTGCCTGTGTTTGTGTGTCTCCCGCTTTGAATTTAGTAGCGCCACCGTCGGAGGAGTGCAAGCAGTTGAGCTCTCCACATGCGGTCCCCAAGGTTGTTGCCAAGTTTGCAACAAAGTTTCTCTTTGCCAAGCTGCTGGGAGCCCGGCTCTTTCAAGGAACCGACGGCGTGAAAGAGGTGGAACAAGAGATTCGGGAATCCCGGATCTTCAGCTCTGATCCCGCACGAGCAGAGAGCATCATGCGGCTGTCAAATGCCGACTTGCAACAATTTGTCAGAAATCCCTGGTTGAAGACACCAAAGGAATGGATCGGGGAGAATGAAGCAAATTTCATGGCTTGTGTGGTGAAGCCAGCTCTCAGTCTTACTGTGACCAACATGCCAGACTGCTTTGCCGATGTGATTTCCCGCTTTGCGGTTTGGATGCACAACAAAGAAACATCGGAGACTGATAAAGCCAACATGCGCGTAGCAGCAGGTGTTTTGCAAGGCCGCCTGCAGCACCATCCCCTTTTGCACGGCATAGCGCTCCAGAGTCTCAGAATGGCCGACAAGCGCAATCGAGGCATTTTGAATATGAGGGGACGAAGATTCATGGAGAGTCCGCTGGAGAAGAAGTTGATCACAGACGCTGGTTTGACCTTGGCAACTTCTTCAGGAATCAGCTCCCTCGTGAAGATGTTTCTGAGATGTGCTCATTGTTTTGTGCATTTTGTAAGGCCTTTCCCTTCTTTTGCATTTAGTTGATCGCCTAATGTTTTTTTGCAGGTTTGGAATTCGTCATTCTCTCGTCAGGTTTGGAATTTCTGTGAGAGAATGCAAAGTGACTTTGGAAAGCCTTCTTGCAGAAAGCCTTCCTCACCGAGCTTTGGCAGTAGACTGGCCAGAGGTGCTTTCCGAGAACTGGAACCTTTTGAACCAGCGGCATCCATTGTCGGAGGGGCAGAATCAGTGTTACTTTGCTACTTCAAGTTGTTGTCAACATTTCTATTTTGTACTAAGTTTTTGTATTTTGTCATTTGGTTTGTAATTGATTGGACTTTCTGTCGCTCAATTCAGCCCAAACATTAGCCTCATGTCTTTGAAGAACAGGTCGTCTATGGATGGCCTTCGATGGAACATACCTCACCCCGACTTTGTCGCAAATTCAGATTCACGAGCGCCACGGCCTGGTTGGAGGAAAATGGAGCAGTGAGAATAAGGAGAATGCGTTCGTCAGTTTGGAGGAGGATGGGGTGGATGTATCTGGTGTGCCACGGGCAAACACTATGATGGAGTTTTGGTGCTGGGACCCCTCAGCCAGAAAGAAGATCCCACTTTCAGTGTGTGCCGTCCCAGTGGAACAGAACTTTGGAGGCCAGAATCGAGCTCAGTGGGGGATCCTGGAACTTGTTGGACAAGTTCTCAGTTCCAGTCAAAAAGTGGTGCGTGGCATTGTGTTTGACGCCCATGGGAGTCATGTGTTTGTGCGGAACATCATTCATGGCCTTTTCGAAGATGTTCCAGATGAATCTCTCAAGGACATTCCGTTTTTCAGGGACCTCCAACACATTTCTCTACCGTCGAACTGCTTGCCTCGCCTTCCAATCTCCATATGCCTTTACAAGGGCGAAGCCTTCTACGCGATGTGCGTGCCTTGCACCTTGAAGGAGTTTTTTACCTTTCACATCCTTTTGTGTTCTTTGACATGCGTCCTCTTTGAAATTTCCACAACGGACCTAGGATCTATCTCATTATACAAGATAGACATGTTTGGCTCTTACAAAATGCATCGACCCATCATTCTTGAGGCTGTATTTTGGAGACTTTTTCATTTTGTTGACCGAGGTCACAGCAACAAGAACGCCTAGCTTCTTGCGCACCATCCAGTGGGGAAAGCTGTGGACGGATACCACGCAGGCAAGATCCCACGGGCTCCCGCCTGTGGCGTATGCCAGGGTCAATGCTATGTCGGACAAATTGAACGCCTTGCTATGCAACCCTTTCTACCTCGTGGTGGACGCAGATGTTGCCATGGAAGATATGGTGGTTCCATGGAGTTTGGCTGGCTTTTGTGTCCACAACGTTGTGGTGGCCCTTTGTGTGGCGCCAGCGCTGCATAAGCGGATGACGCTGAAGGAGCGGTGCAGCGCGGCATTGGCCGGGTTCCTTTGCCTCGACCTTTTCCAGATGTGCGCGCACCAGACCTGCGTGAAGATGAAATTGCCAAAGGGCAGCTGCTTCCTAGCGCCCCAGACGGTGCACAATTTGCAAGGAACTGCATTGGCAACGGTCGTGATTTGTGCCACAAAGGACACTGGCTTCGAACCCTGGTCTTTTGGCCATTGCAGACTTTCAGAGATCTCAGTGGAAGAGTACTTCGGAATGTTGAGATCCAGGAGCTCCAACTCACAACTCTCCACCAGAGGATATTTCTATGCTTCGGCCCTGCAGGCAATGCGCAGCAACCATGCACTCAACAAGACCAAGCGCAAGCCTGAGGTGCAGAACGGGCAGTCACGCTTGACCGAGCTTGAGCCTATTGCCGGACATTTCAGTTAAATGCTTTGGAGACAACTGTTGATAGCACCATCCAAATCCATCCAATACTATCTACAAAAAGAATCCCCGTGTATCTTGTAGCGCGCACCTACCTGGAGTTGAATTTTGTAGCGAAGATAATGGTGTCTGTTTGCAATTTGTAAAGATTTATCTTGGACCCCTGGTTTTGTACTACTAAATGAGGGTGTCTCAAGACGCCCCTATAAATTTACAGGGGGATCAAAAAGAATACTTCTTGCGGTGTCGCATGACATGTGGTACCTTACCATTGGTATATTTAGTGGTCGCTAGCCTGTACTATGGGGTGAGTTTCCTATGGCACGCAAGCAAACAAACACCCTGGTCCCCACCAATAGTGCTAGGTTTATCAAAAAGATCCCCACTACAGAATGCGTGTTCAGGATGCATTTCCTAGTTTCCAAGACTTGTAGCCTTTTTTTTGTATTTCTGTGCTTGTTAATGTTGAAACTGCATTTTGTTGACCTCATGAGCCCCTTGAAACCGAGGTTTCAGGAATGTTGCCAGAATGCCTTGCAGGCATCCTTGGCGCTTGTGTCGAAGCTGAGCGATATCAGTGTGGGGACTTTGGAGACTAAATACCGGCAGGTTTGCAACGAGGATGGCTTCTTCTCAGCAATCCACCCCGGAGGAACAGTGCGAACTCGATTTGGCTCCAGAGCCAACATGCATGGAGCTGTTGGAACAGGTTCGGGCCGAGACCAATCTGGTTTTGGGGAACGAAGACGGTGAGGCAGGTGATGCAGCAACAGAGCAGGATCAGAGGGTTTTCGATGAGGGTGAGATTCAGGACAGCCATTTGGATGTACCAGACCGGGATGTTTTGGAGATGTTGCTGTCCAACACCGAGCCCAAAGAGCCCTTCCGAGTGGAAAGCCCCAAGAAAAAGATCCACAAGGACCTTGACAAGAATCATCTCCCCACTAGCCTCCTGGAGTGTGTCCAGATGGAAGGGGACCTGATTAACAACTTGTTCAGGCTCGCGGTATGGCTACGATCAGCCCCTGGAGGGGCTGACACCTTCCTCATTAGGAATGCCAAGGCATGCCGTTCTCGCTCCAGAAACCTGAACTGGCATCAGTTTCATGGCTTACAGAGTTCATGGGTGTTTTCTTTTCACAAACAGTTTTTCTCATAAAGCTCAACAAGCTCTTCTGGCAAGATTTCAGAATCCGAACAGGGGAGCGCTACAAAATGAACATATGTAAAAATACAACACCATCTATTAAAAATAAATGTAGTAAATATATGTAAATATATATCTTTACGCGTGAGGTCTTTTTCTCAAGCTACAATGAAATGAAGCTCGCGGAAATGGAACAGGAGAAGGAGAATCCAATCTACCACTCCCGAACTTCCAGGATTCAAAAATGGATGGAATTGGTGAAACGTGCTCAACAGGATCTGGAAATGCCGTTGGATCCCCCAAAGCGATTAATGTCGCTTGACTTGTTCCAACCAGTGGTGTTTTGAAACAGCGTGTTGCATTTTGTAAGCAACATGTTTGGTTGTTACATTTTGTAAGCCACAGGTCCTGTCTTACAAGAAGTAGCAGTTTGCATGGAACCAGTTTGTTGAAGGCTGATTGTTGCATTGTGTAAGGACCTGTTGTTCTGCTTGCATTTTGTTGACCGGTCAAGGCCTGGCAACGTGGTCCTCTTCCAGACTCCCGTGAAGAATAGCCAGATTGAAGTCGGCCTCCTGATGACTGTTTGGAAGGGGCTGAAAAGCCCCAAGCCTCACGCAGGAGAAGTGCCTGTGCAGTCTTGTGTGGCCTTCAGGGCAGTGCAGCTTAGCCCATCAGACGACTTGGGCAAGGAGTGGGAGGCAGATTGGCATTCAGCTGCCTGGGTGGTGCGCCTGGAAGGTCTCATCACAATCTTGGACGTTGAAGAAAGTGCTTCGTTTGCCGTATTTTTTGCAGTTCACACCTCATTGTGTGTGATCTTTGTGAGCGTTCTGCCATTGCTTCAGTCTTATGAAGTAAAGATGTAAACAAAATTAACCGCTGTAGGTTCAGAGCTTGTCCTTCCAATAGTGCCTTGCTGAGCCATGCTAAGGTGTTCAGCCATCTGTAAACTCTGGCAAGATGAAGGTTCGCCTCAGCGAGGTCAGTGCAGATGCATTGAGCAGATGCGAAAGCATCCAGACATGGGCAGTTGGTCCAACGATGAGACGGGGGCAAGGTGGGATGGCCACAGACTTGCGCCTGGCATCCACCACTTCAAAGCCCGTGGAGGTGAAGAAGACTGTGCCTGGTAACAAGTTTGCCAAGAAAAAGTTGCAGGGCAAGAAGGGTAAAGGTGACCAGTCCACAAAGAATGCTGAAGAGTCTCACTTGGACTTGATCAGTGACAAAGATGTCACCTATGCACGCAGCGCAGCTGGTCGCAAGTTGATCCGTGAAGAGCTTCGAATGGTCCTCAAACATGATGCCGACTTGTATCCCGACAGCAGGATGTTTGACACCAGCGGCTTTTGCAGAATGAAGAACGAGGAGGCAAAAGTCACGACGATGCAGGAGATCCTGGAGAATGTCGGAGAATGCATGGAGTTCTTGTCTCCTGGTGTTTGGTTTTGTAGTGAATAATAGATGGCATGTGTTTGCTTTTGAAATTATTTTGTTGTGCCCGCTTTGTTCTTCATTTTGTAGTGACTTTCTGGGCTTACAAAATGTTGAGAGAGCATCATTCCATCAATTTGACCTCTAGGTTCAAGAACTTGAAGAGCCTGGCGGCATACCAGAAGGCAGTGGCAAGGCTTTTTCAGTCGATTTGGTCCCAGCTGAATAGTCAGCCTCCTGTGCGGCAATGCCTGTTGAAGTTCCTGAAGGACGTGATTTCCTTTGTCCGAAGCAAGAAAAGTGCTCCGGCAGAGGCGCAGGAGAAGCGAAGCAAAGGTTTTTTGAGAAGGCCTTTGGGTTGGCCTTTGTGAATCTTTGTGAAACATTGTGAAACAATGTATCAACGAAAATTTATTTGCAAGCCATAGTTAGCAAGAGTTTGCCGTCACAAAATGTGTCGGAGGGTTGGCTTTTTTGTCAACGGCAAGCACAGGCAAAGACAGACACCTGCGGAAGAGCGAAAGTGCGTGCTCTACAGAATTGAGTACCTACAAAATGAAACACGAAAACTGTGAGCTTCATGTGCGTTCTTAAGGTGTTAAGGACTTGGAAATATCTAGCCAAACCTATCAAAATGGAAGGGTGCACCCCTGAATTTAGTAGAGAATATCCAGTCGTTTGGCGCGAGAAAAGAGGAGGGTGCACCCATGTATCTTGTAGCGCGCACCTGCCCGGAGTTGAATTTTGTAGCGAAGATAATGGTGTCTGTTTGCAATTTGTAAAGATTTATCTTGGACCCCTGATTCTGTACTACTAAATGAGGGTGTCTCAAGACGCCCCTATAAATTTACAGGGGGATGTATTTTGTGGTGCTGTAGTGTGCAGGCCTGCCCAACGCCACGAAGCCCACCCGTTCTGTAGAAAAACAATCGCGTCTATGCCGGCATAATTTTTATCATCGGTTCCTCAAGACACCACCAGCTACTTGAGCCGCGGTGAGGATGTCGGAATTCAGCCACATCAGAGAATTAATTGAACACACCGCCTGTGCCTGCATCAGGGATTAGTCTAACGCCACAACTTGGCGGAAAATTGTGCAAAAAATTATCGGTGAGATCCCCACCCCTTAACTTGGCTTGGTGAAAAGCCTTTTTGGAATTTGATGGTTCCGCCCAGATCAACAATAAACGCGGTTAAGCCCACAATTCTGTTGTGACATGTGTGGAGTGCACACGGGCGGTGGAAGAGGTGGAATGAACCGGTGGACTTTCAAGTTGAGCATGTGAAACGAAGGTCCGACAACTTCGGCGACAATTGGAGGACAATTGGGAGCTGCAAGGTGGATTTTGTTTACATTTTTCATTGCCCAAAGAATGAATAGGCAACAATTCTTTGCATGAGGGTGCGGCCAGCAGCATAATCAAATGGGCCGCATCACAAAAATAGACGATTCACAGTTACAGGTACAGTTTTGTTCAACTTTTCAGTTGGGACTTGGCGATGGTGGAGCACCTTGTTCGGAAGAAACCTGGTCTTCAGATATGGCAAATGGCAAACTAGAAAAAACAACATGTCTGCCGCTGCCTACCAAGTATGCGCAACAGAATCCCATGTGACCAAACCGGCGAAACAGAGCTTCGCCGTGGCATTTCGGCGTTCCAGCTTCAAGCCGCCGGCGTGCAGTTGCTTGCATTGGCAGGTGTGTTGCCTGTTGCATTCAGAGCGTTGGTGAGAAAATTCTTCAAGCGTTGCAGGTGTGATGGGGACTCGCAAATTCTCCGACATATCTGGTTCCGACTCAGCATTCTGCACCTTGGCAGTGGCTATTTTGGTTTGTTCGCAACCGACAGGATTTGGGGTAGTTACAGTAGGATTGAAATAGAGCCCACCCTATTGTGACCCCCGGCCCCGGCCAAGTGTCCCCACCAGTGCCTTGCCAGTGGGGGGTGGACATACTTGATGGCAAGACATAATGACAACACTCAGCGCAGCGACAACAAGGAACTCACACAGAATGCAGTGGGAACAGGACAACGGACAATGACACATAATGTCAACATCAAACAAAATCGCAGCTCTTGTATATAACTATAGAACTGCCTGACAATGGGCAAGGATAAGCATGAGAGCAGGCAACCAAGATTGACACATATAGTTTGCACCAAATACCACATGAACGTTTATATCGGGACAAACCAGGTCCGTCGGGGATAGCTCGAAGTAAAGCAGTTTTTAAATGGCGAACGTTCCCTGAATCGAAATGCGAGGCGTTGTGCTGGGGGCCCAGTGGGGAGATGAAGGCAAGGGCAAGCTCGTGGACATCCTGGCGCAGGCCCAAGGCTAAAATGATCATTGTTTGGCATGTGGCACGCCGTTGTTTGAGCGGATGCAGGACGTTCAGGTATGTGCACGATTTAATGGAGGTGCAAATGCAGGGCACACTTTGTTGGTAGCTGCTCGCTTCAACTCAATGATGCTATGTCTTCTAGATGCTCTTGTGCAGTTTGCGTCTGAGGATGGGAAAAAATATGCATTTCATTTGCTCCCGTGTGGGATGATCAACAAGGCCGAGTGAAATGCCTGCGCAGTGATATGAACAATATATACAAAACAAGGGTTTTGCTGGAATATTGTTTGGCTTCTACTGGTCTTTATTTTCCACAAATCAACGACTTGGAAGGCTTGCAAGAATCTCATTGGCAATGGCGTTGTAGTGCACCTGGGTGAACATGGTGAAAGTGCGATTGGACTCGGACAGAACAAATCCAGCCGTACTTCTTGGTGTGCATTGGTGGCCCAAGGCACATACCAACATTGATGAAAGAACTCGACGCACTCAAGGACCCAACCAATCACTTTTGGCAGCTTTAGTTGGTCGGGGCTTGTGCCAGGAATTTGATCCACAAGCTTTGGAGAGAGTGTTTATTTCTACACGCCCAGGGCTCAGAAGACAGTTTTGCAGGCTCAACCTGCACTTTGTTGGCATCATTTGCTGCCAGCAGGATGCTGCAATGCTGGTGCCGTCAGGTGCCCACATCCTCCTCGACAGCCATCAGACTATAGATGGAATACTGGAGGCTGAACAAGGCTCCAACTCTATTGGAACCACGCCGCTCGACGCCACGAAGTGTATCGTTTTGGTGCATTGGAGAGGAGATGTGACAGGCACAGTTTTGACCGCTTTCATACTGATGTGCATGGGCCACCTTTGCAGAAAGTAGGAAACGCGGAATTGGCCCTTGCTATTCGTCAAAGGCAATCCGCACCCAAGTTGCAAGTAGCGGGCTTGTGTTCGGAGAGGAGTGGCCGAGTACGTCATGTGAGTCATGTTACATTTTTGCTCTTTCCAATGTAGGTAATGGAGTCCGCTTCGGAGATCTGCTTCTTGGATGATTTAGTAAAGCTGAAAAGTAAATCGGTTCCCTTCTCCCAGCGAGTGGTTCCAGAGATTGAAGTTTGGCAGACGTGCCAGCACAAATGTTGTTACAGTAACTTTCTTTATTGAGCGGTCCAGGTGTATTTGAGGTCAGAGTAAGGTTCGCTGAGGTCGGCGGAGGCGACAAACCACACAACCATCACACACAAAAAGCATAGGCTAACAAAGGGTTGCATCACTTCATATCACTTTCTGCAGTTGCCTTGGACATCGGTAGAATTGTTGTAAACATTTACAGACATGAAAAGGACCCGAGCCGCAACCATAAATTCAGGGGGTGAACTTAAGGAATAACACACCAAACACAAGTCAAAGCAAAAGCTATTAGCTGCAAGCCGCAAAAGCTTAAATTCAGGGGTGGCGGTGAATTTAAGGAATGACAAAACAAAGTTGACTTTGAGAACTTATGTTAATTCCTGGGAAGTGGATTGGGGGGGTGAATTTATGAATGGAAATGCGGGACAAGTGAAGCGGTCGGGACGTGCTTCATGGGGAGATAGGTGTGCAGTTGGACATAAATAAAATTGTTGCAAACACAGCAAAAACACCAATAGCATCAATTCATAGAGGAACACCACAACAAACAACCAACAATTATAGAAACAACTCACTGCTTAAACTCAGGTGTGAGGGTGAACTTAAGGAACGACACAACCAAAAAGGAAAAACTAAATAGTTATGCTTTCTATCCCTTTAGTGATGTGAGCTTTCACCGCTCAAAGTCTTTTGGTTCGAGCGGTGGTCAATGAGCTTGACCTTTGCTTTTGATCTCCTTCGAGAGCTCCGCTGGGCGTGGCCCGTTCAGTGCAGCTCCTCTGGCCTCAGCCTTCCCTTGGTGCTCTTACTCCTCATCCTGGCTTGCTGCTTGGGCTGCATCTGTGGGGGCCTCGTGGTTTTGACTGCGCTCTCGGCTTCTTGCAGAAGAGTTCTAAGCTGGCTCATTTCTGGGTGCGCTGCCGCTCTGGTCGATCCTCTTCCTCAAGGCGACACTTTGAGGCGCAGGCTAGGGCAGTATCGTGCTGTGCATGGGGCCTGGGCGCCAGCTGGACCAGCTAGTTGTGGAATTTGGGGATCTCAAGATCCGAGTTGAGAGAGCAGGAGGTTATCAAGCAGGCGCTGGCAGCGCCGCAGCGCCTTCTACTACAGGGTCCCCCCCTCAGGGTGCCCTTGCAGGCCCTGCACGGGCCACAGTTGAGCAGGGCTCAACTACTTCAGCAGCGGCCTCTGATCCTGGATCTTGGGAGCCTGTTGCGGCTGGAGCTTCAGCTTTTGTGCCTCACACTCCGGAGTGGGAGAGGGCCCTGATTGCTGCCCTCACTCCGGAAGAGATCGAAGGTCTGGATTTGAGCCCGGTCACTCATTTGCTGCCGCGCGTTCGCAGCAGTAGCAACGGCTGGGGCCCACTCGGACGTCTGGGTCGAGCATTGAGAGCTGGAGTGCAAGCTAAGGAAAAGTTGGACCGTGGTCGTTGCTCAGCTGGGACTACATCCGCTTTGACCTTGCCCTCAAAGATCTACATCATCCTGGAGCCTGCCCCCAGTGGTCAGGCCGGTTGGACTGACCACTATTTGACCTTCAGAGATCAGGTGCTTGGGCGCCACGGTGACACCCACGGAGACGCAGTGTGCCACGCCTTCCCCTCGCGTGCTGAGGCGGAGGCGTACCTCATTGGTGCTCAGCGGCCATGGCCGGCGCTCCTGCGCCGACCTCAGACGAGTTGGGACTACGTGCCCTGTGGGATTCTGTCCCTCCCTCAGGGCAGCTGCCAGCTCTTTTCTTGGTCTTGCCGGCCAAGGAAGATGGGACAGGGTTGCGGGTCACCGCTTTTTTGGTGAGGATTCGCTCTGGCGGCTTCATGGTGGTCCTACCAGACTTTGTCGAGGTCACCCAGTTTTTCCCGAAAGCATTGCGAAGGGTTCTTCCGGAAAATCCCTTGAACACTGACACTTCGACACTTACACTTACACACTGACACTTCCACCACATTCGCACTACATACACTGACACTTCGACACTGACACTTACACATACACACTGACACTCGGCAAGCACGCAGTGTAAGTATGCAAGTGATGGGTACGCAAGCATGCAATGAGCATGCAAGCATGCAATGAGTAGGCAAGTGTGAGTATGGAAAACTAGCACGGGAGATGTCCTAATGAAAAAACATTTCCCCACTTTATAAATTCTCTCTTAAAGGCGGAGGGCGGGACGAACAGCGTCAACCGAAAGTGCAACCCTCTGCGGAGATCGTGCGTGTCGACTGCGCGAAATGCAGGCGAGAGTGCGATTTGTCCGGTCCGCGCGCAACCCTCTGCGATTTGCCGGCTGCCCGCGCAACCCTCTGCGGAGATCGTGCGTGTCGAGTGCGCGAAATGCAGGCGAGAGCGCGATTTGTGACATCACCGCGCGACCCTCTGCGGAGATCGCAAAACGCAGGCAAGAGTGCGATTCGAGCGGAGCAAGCTGTGGAGCTGGAAGCTGAGAACTGGCGACTTTGTAGTACAACTTTAGTACGCGGAGGAGCTGGGGAGCTGGAAGCTGAGAACTGGCGACGTGGTAGTACGACTGTACTACGCGGAGTAGCTGGGGAGTGGGAAGATGAGAACTGGCGACTTGGTAGTACAACTTTAGTACGCAGAGTAGCTGGGGAGCTGGAAGCTGAGAACTGGCGACGTGGTAGTACGACTGTAGTACGCGGAGTAGCTGGGGAGCGGGAAGATGAGAACTGGCGAGTGGGTAGTACAACTTGAGGGCGCGGAGTATCTGGGGAGCTGGAAGATGAGCACTGGCGACTTTGTAGTACAACTGTAGTACGCGGAGTAGCTGTGGAGCTGGAAGATGAGAAGTGGCGACTTGGTAGTACAACTTTAGTACGCAGAGTAGCTGGGGTGGGAAGATGAGAACTGATGAGTGGTTAGTAGCTGAGAACTCGCGACTTTGTAGTTTCAACTTTAGTACGAGGAGTAGCTGGGGAGCTGGAAGATGAGAACTGGCGACTTGGTAGTACAACTTTAGTACGCAGAGCAGCTGGGGAGTGGGAAGATGAGAACTGGCGACTTGGTAGTACAACTTTAGTACGCAGAGTAGCTGGGGAGTGGGAAGATGAGAACTGGTGAGTGGGTAGTAGCTGCGAACTGGCGACTTTGCAGTACAACTGTAGTGCGCGGAGTAGCTGGGGAGCTGGAAGATGAGAACTGGCGACTTGGTAGTACAACTTTAGTACGCAGAGTAGCTGGGGAGTGGGAAGATGAGAACTGGTGAGTGGGTAGTAGCTGAGAACTGGCGACTTTGTAGTACAACCTTAGTATGCGGAGTAGCTGGGGAGCTGGAAGATGAGAACTGGCGACCTGGTAGTACAACTTTAGTACGAGTAGCTGGAGACTGGGAAGATGAGAACTGGCGACTTGGTAGTACAACTTTAGTACGCAGAGTAGCTGGGGAATGGGAAGATGAGAACTGGCGAGTGGGTAGTAGCTGCGAACTGGCGACTGTGTAGTACAACTGTAGTGCGCGGAGTAGCTGGGGAGCTGGAAGATGAGAACTGGCGACTTGGTAGTGCAACTTTAGTACGCAGAGTAGCTGGGGAGTGGGAAGATGAGAACTGGTGAGTGGGTAGTACAAGTTGAATACGCGGAGTATCTGTGGAGCTGGAAGATGAACACTGGCGACTGTGTCGTACAACTGTAGTACGCGGAGTAGCTGGGGAGCTGGAAGATGAGAACTGGCTGCCTCAACTTACTCGGACACACACACAGACAGAGACGCATATACACACGGACATAGATACACACACAGAGACCCACACATTACCTCGACTCACTCGATTTGACACTTCACACTGCACACGGAACAGAGAACTCGCACTCAGACTTCCTACGCGATGAAACTACTAGGAGCAAGGACGCTACTAGGTGCTCCTGGACTTACCTACGTTTCGTTTAGATTCATATAGTTTGGTTTAGGCACGTCTCGTTGCGTGTTCGTTTTTTTGAGCTTGGAGTATCGAGGCTGTGGCGGGATGTACGCGGCGGCTCAAGCAGAGAGACCGCAGCATTTTCAAAATGAGATCGCGCAAGTCTCGACAGACCGTAGGCGGGAACATACAGCAAGGCAAGAGCAATAGTTTCAACACACCACTAGTAACAAGAAGCTAGGAGTAACAAAGGGCATCGCTACTAGGAGCCAGGACGCTACTAGGGGCTCCTGGCCTTACCTACGTTTCGTTTAGTTTGGCTTAGGTACGTTTCGTTTCGTGTTCGTTGTTTTGAGCTTGGACTATCGAGGCTGTGGCGGGAAGAATGTACTGGGAAGAAGTTTCAACACACCACTTGGGATGGAAGTGTACATTTCGTTTAGGTTCGTTTAGTTTGGTTTAGGCACGTTTCGTTTCGTGTTCGTTGTGTGTTTTGAGGTTAGAGTATCGAGTCCGTGGCGCGATGTGCGCGGTGGCTCAAGCAGAGAGACCGCAGCAATTTCCAAGTGAGTTCGCGCAAGTCTCCACAGACTGTAGCCGGGAACACGCAGCAAGGCAAGAGCCGTGAAGAATGTACTTGCAAGAAGTTTCAACACACCTCATAAGCTTCTCGTCAAGAGGCGCACGGACCATGGCCACTTTGCAGGACGCAGTTCTGCGAAACGCGGAGGCAGCGGGTCAGCAGGAGCAAGAGGCACAGCGCCTGCGAGACGGACACCGGGAGGGAGGCGCGGCGTGGTTGCGGACCGAGTTGGAGGCCAAGAACCGCGCCGACTTGCGGCGGCTGTGCGCTTTGTTGGGACTGCCGCAGCAGCGCGACGGCACAGCCCTTCAGAAGGAGCAGCTGCTGGAAGCCATAGTGCACAGCTTCTCATCGCAGGAGGGATGGAGTCAGGGGATGGGCGTAGTGTACAGTGTAACCTTGCACACTAGCTGTTTGTGTTGAAGTAGGTGTTGGCTAGACTCGA